ACCCCAGCCCAGCCCTAGCGGCCTAAGTCACCCTTTGCTGTTCCGGCGGAAAGGGGGCCTTTCCCCCGGGGGCGGCTCTGGCTTGCTCTGGACAGCTTCAGAATAGCCCGCCTTACAGCTGGAGGGCAGGACAGGCTGGGCGAGCCGCTCTTGCCCCGTTTTACCAGGCGACCCTTCCTGCGCCGGCTGGTTGTTGCCAGGCATTTTCAACGCAGGCTTGGTGCACTTCAGAAGTCCATACTTGATACAGCCGCCAGACGGATGGGGAGGAAGGGACACCTCCTGCTAGCCGCGCAGCCTCTCCCCCGACACCTGTCCGTCCATCCAAGTGCTTTTTCAGAGGAGCTCTGCCCCTGCGCTGAAAGCGAGCGGACCAAGCAGCAGAGGTCCGTGCAGAGGGTTTGCGCAGCGCACTGGGGCCCTTCAGCACTGCCTGCCCCCAGGCCCATCTGCTGTTAGTCGGCGCAGGAGGGGTGTGGGGCAGAGGAAGGGTCCTGCCGCATTGCCCAACCCCAGAGCCAGTCCTACGCAGCCTCTGCCAGCGTGTGCCTGTGGCAGGGTAGGGCTCGCCAGTGGGGACGGCAGATTCTTTGCTGGGAGAGACTTGCTGCTCACGAGCTGGAGGATCTGCTGCTGCATTTCTGAGCTCTGCCGCAGCTTCTCCTTCCGTCTGAACAGCTGCAAGGAAAAGGCTAATGCTCAATTTCGCCTCACCCCGTTCAAGGACTCTGGCTGCTCCCAGTCCTTCTCGGCAGTGCGGGAGATTCCTTGCCCACCCTGCCCAAACATCGGGAGAGCTCACGGGGAAGCAACCCAGGAGGGCAACAGGAAGGGCCCTGCTGGGAACGGAGCCCTGGTCAAGGGGGGTCTTTCCCACAACCTGCCAGCAGGGATTGGGAGGGGGTGAAGGGAGGGATCCATCCGGAGCCCCGCGACGGCTGGTGCTGCCCCCTGGGCTGAGAAGCCCCGGGGTCCTTCTGCAGCCTGTCCCGCATCTCCTGCCAGCATGATCAACGCCGACTTCTGCGCTGGGTCCGTCCTCATCTCCTTCGGAGCACTGCTGGGCAAGACGAGCCCCGTTCAGCTGCTACTGATGGCCGGGCTGGAAGTCACTCTCTTTGGCGTCAACGAATACATCTTGCTGAATGTCCTTCAGGTGAATTCCCTGGATCCTCTTTGGGCGGCCACGGCCTGGGCCAACCGCTGGGCCTATCCCTTGCCCATTTGGCTGGGCTGGGTGGAGGGGGAGAGGTTGTAACCCAAAGCCACTCAGAGGCTGCGTTTGCATGACCATTTAGACCCTGAACCCAGGTTAACATAATATAAGTGTGTTCTTTACACAACGTACTGTGCTCCTGTCAGGTCCTCACTTGGTGGCCTGATTCACACAACCTGCCCGGATGACGGCCGGCTTCCCACCATCCACTGAATGCAGTTCCGTGCTTCTGAGCGGGGCCTAGCAGGTTGTGTGAAGGCATTCGTGGTTTCATGCTGGCAGGGCTTTGGCCTTACTGTCCTTGACTCGTGGCAATGATCCTCAGCCCCAGTGGATGTGCTTCCTCTCCCCCCACCACATTACTTGTTTCCCAGTAAAGCGGGTAGCCAGGAGCTGCAGGGGGTCCCTCAAGACTCATGTGACTCTGGGGCTCTTGTGACTTCTGGCCAGACTGACTGCAGCTTCATTGCCATCAAAATCCAAAACAACGACCATCGTTGCTCCATCAGACAATCTAGCTAACATTTGCTGTAAATCATTTGAGTTCTCCACCAACATAACAACCTCTGTATGCCAGAGCCCATATACTGTATATTCATGCCCCTGACACACACCCCTGATGTCACCGGAGAACTTCCTGATCCATTCCTCCATCAAGGGGACATTGCACCTCCGTGTTCAGGGTTGAACCATTTGATAACCCTTCCTTTGATTCTCACTCATCCTCCACTTCTCTTTCGTTGCGTTCAGCAACCAACCTTCAAATCTGTACTCATTCAAAATGAACTCATGTCTTTTGGTCTGAATATACACTTTCTCTAGACGAACAAGCAGGTAGTAAATCTTTTTTCTTCCATGTGTTCCTCAATGATCTGCTGAAGAGCAAACATCTGTTCTACATACCACCTCTCTGACAAAAAACTCTTTTGATCCAAATTCTGTCAAAAACCTTCCCAGGCAGACCCCCTTTGTTGACTAACCCTCCTGTATTCACTATCGCCACATTTCCCTCTGTATAGGCCCAGGACCTGACTTTAACAAGAAATTATCGACCAATATCTTTATTGAATGTGGGTTTCTACCTAAAAGACAGTCATGAGATAATATTAGAAATGTGTTGTACAGTGGTACCTCGGGTTACGAACGCCTCTGTTAACGAATTTTTCGGGTTGCGACCAATTCGAGATGCGATCAGAGTCACGGAACGGATTAAGTTCATAACCCGAGGTACCACTGTATATTCTGGAGTATTTGGAGCAACACAATGAAAAACAAGGTGCATTGATCTTCTTAGATGCAGAGAAGCCTTTGATAGTTTGAACTGGATTTTCTTGTTTAGAGTTCTGGAATATATGAACCTTGGAGATAATTTTATTAAATAGGTAAGATCAACTTGTGCCTCACAGAAAGCACAAATAATTGTTAATGGAGAATTAACAAAACCTTGTAAGATTCAAAAAGGGTAAGATAAGGATGCCCACTAGTTCATTTTAGTTCTTGAGGTACTGAATAGAGTTATAAGACAAGATGAGAGAATCGTGGGAGTAAAGATTAAAAAAGAAACTTATAACTTAAGGGCATTTGCTGATGATCTGGTGGTAGTTTTGGAGGATCCGTCAGAGGGAGTAGAGACATTAATGGGAAAATTAAAGGACTGTGGTATGCTAGCAGATTTTAAGATTAATAATCAGAAGACAAAGAGGTTAACAAGAAATATTAAAATAGAAAATCAAATAGAACTGATGGATAAAACTAGTGTTAAGATTGAGAAAAAATTAAAATACTTGGGCATTATTATGACAAATATGAATTGTATGTTATTTCCAAATAATAATATTAAGACATGGAATGAAATTAAGAAGG